CAGACAGAAAATAGCCACTCCAGGATTCAAACCCACACCATCTGGCTCACAGTCCACACCCTAACCTCCCGGCTGTGCTGCCTTTGTCTGAAAGTTTGCATCCAAGCTAAAGACCAGAGACTGAGAGGAAGTCAGGTTATCCAGTATCTTTAAAGGGTCTCATTACCAAGGATGCTGAGCCTTTTGCCTCTGTTGAGGGTTTATGGCTATTCATGCCACGTGTTCTTTCTTTCCATGGTGCAACACTCCACAGGGAAGTGCACAAGGTACACATATCTTATGTATACAGTTTGACGATTCTTCCATTATGTGCACACCGATGTAATCCCCTCCAGATCAAAATATGGGACATTTCCAGCTTCCAGCAGCCTCCCGTGTGCCCCTCCCAGTCAGTGGCTATCCATCCTACAAAGCAACCACCATTCTGACTTTTCACACCATAGATTAAGCTTTGCCTTTTCTAGAATTTCATATAAATGAAATCAGATAGTGTGTACTGTTTTGTATTTGGCTCTATTCTTGAAATTAAAAAAAAAAAAAAACCTCCTGTAATCAGCACACAGACAGTGATTGTGGGAGAAAGGAGGGTGTGGCTTTGTCACAAGCAGACCCCTAGGTTGTTTTTATTTGGGCTCACTGACCCATCAAGGGGGAAGATGGGAAGAGCTGAACACTGGAGTTTGGAACTGCATGAGTTGACCTTGGAAAACCAGTGAACCACAGGAGGCAAAGGAGCTGTCCCGCCTGGACAGGGGACTGTGGGAACGAGGAAACCAGGTTGGCCCCTGCCGCTGCTCAGAACGTCCAGAGGGGAGAAGCCTTTAGAACGCTCAGATCTGGTTCCTCCATCGCCCCGCACCAGAGGCGCCCAGGGTGGCCACCGGTTCTTCCTACTTTGGCCTCCGCCGCTCCTCCCCGGGGTGTGACCATCTCCCAAAAGATCATGAGCCCGCCTAGAAGGCGCGCCTCCCTACCTGTGCACTGTTGGATGAAGTGCTCGTATTCCGCTCCCTGCTCGCCCGGGACGATGGTGGAGCCGTCATATTTAAAAGTCACCCTTTGGATTGGAAGAAGAGAAAACACACACACATGAGCGTTGGTGGGCGCACGGTGCGGCGCTTCCAGCAGGACAATCTAACAGATGCTCTGGCTAAGGAGAAGCCAGCGCTGGCTTTCCACGCTGTCCTGGAATAAGGATGCAGAAGACAGCGAGGGATGACCCTTAGTCCGTCCCGTTTGGAAAACGGCTCGGTGCACTAGGCCCCTGGCGAGCTGGGGGAGCGGGGCTTGGAGATCAATGAAAAGTTCCTCACCAGATGACGGCCGAGCCGTCGTCGCGCACCAGGTTGTACGCCTCCCGGCAAGCCTCTTTGTCGATCTTGGTG